TGCTTTCTATACAGTAAGTTCAGAGTAGTAAGCTGAACGAGCTCTATATAGGGCTTTCTTATATTGTTGCAGGCTATCAGTCCATGCCAACTGGAATCTAGTTTGCGGCACTCCTGTTTAAGAGATTGTGTGTGATCATTAAACCATGGAGAGTGTCTAGTGGTTTTGACTACCTTAGTTTTTAACAGGGCTATTCCATTGAGGGCCTGTCTGACCACTGTATTATAGTTGTGTGTGATTTCATCAACATTAGTACTGGAGGTGAAGCCTGATTCATGTTCATAAATTTTAAAGAAGTACCCCTATTGATGTGCCGTGTCATAATAATCTTCTCTTTGGCAACTACAGAGGGTAGTCGAATCTCTAAAGTAATTAAAAAGTGGTAAGAAAATGAGTTATCCATGGGATGGACTAATATATGATTAATATCAGCTCTATAAGTGAAAATTAAGTCTAGTGTATGATTGTACACATGTGTTGATCCTGTTATATGCTGACTACACCCTACAGAGTCAAAGAGGGACAAGAAGTTTTTATTGAAAGCATCTGTCTCTATGTCGATATGTATGTTAAAGTCACCTAATATTACAACTTTGTCTAAATTAATAACTAAGTCAGAGAGCAGTTCACCAAATTCAGCTAGAAAGGATGCATATGGTCCTGGGGGTCTGTGTACTAAAGAAGATCTGTGGATGAATGTATGTTTAAACGCTAATAGGTGCAACACTGACAGTATGGCTTGGCAAAAATGTTGCACGTCAGTTAAATGACAGATTTGTTTGCACTGTGGGAATCAGCAGTTCATGCAGACTTACGGTTCTTCAGTGTGATTTTAGCTCTTGTCAATTCAGAACCCAATTGTAAAGTCAGTTAAAGTAAACATCTATTTTTCAAAATCTGCTTTGAACTGAAAGTGGTTATTTTGATATTTCCTGGTAAAACGTACATCATAGCTGTATTCAGTGAAATTTGGTTTCTGCAACGAATTCTGATTTACTCTACTTAACACACAATTATATATTATAATATTAATGCATATATATTAAGTTCCTTGCATTCTTAAAACATATCAGGCAATCCTTTTTATTTAATTGTCAAAATAAATGCAGATTCATAGTATAAGTATAAACAATTACAGCGTATCTTCATTACCATTATACAGTGTTAATTTGTAAGAATATAAGAAATGTTGCAAGAGGAAGTGATGTGATCCATTTGGTAGAACTATACATGCATTGCTTGTTTAAAGCTAAGGTGAATTTTCATTGAATGTGTCGTAACATTCACTGCGGTAGCCTAGTTTGGAAACCTTAATACACACAATAAAAACACACTGAGCAGGATTGTGAAGGTAGCTGGCACAGTTACTGGTGCAGAACACTTACTTTCAGGCATCAGGCAAATAGTGGAAGGCCAATGCAATTATTGACCACCCCTTGAACTGTGAATTTGATCTCCTTCCATCTGGGCGTCAATTAGGCTACCAAGATTCAAATGCAATAGAACTACGTCATCTTTTATTCCCACAGCTATCAACCTGCTCAGTTTGGACAATTGATTGTATATTTTACTTTACACATATATTTATATATTTTCCATCTCATCATAAATGTACAGTACAGTATGTCTTCTTTGTTAATAGGTTCATGTTGTGTTATTTTAAATGTATTTTGTATTGTGTTGTGTCTTTACCTGCCTGCAAAGCCAAGATCCCGTCTGGGACAATAAAGTGAAGCAAGTAAGTAGTATATTAATTTTGTGGAAATTAAAGATTATTAAACCACTCTTTGTATTGCCGTGGAGTTGTGAGTTGCAGTTAAATTTTGTCTGCCGCAAGCAGGAAGCCTGTTACTTTGCTATAGCTAAAGAAACCATCTGATAATCTGAAGATTAGACTCAATTGAAATGAAAAGTCGGAATACTCACATTTCATATGTATAAAATAATTTAAGCACATGCTTTCTGCTATGCTAAGCTTAATTTTCCTAATGAGAAACTACAGCATTTTTTTCCACATGAAGTGTCAACATTTAGAAATTAAAGTCAGTTGTTTTGCAGTGAAGGTCTTTGTAAGTTCTGTGGTTTGCTTTACAGTATCTCTCTTAAATGAGTGCAGACAACTTTGGGCCAAATACAGTATATAGTAGCACTTGAATGTCTGTATGTGTACTGGAAGTGGTAATTATTAGAAGAATTATTAGAAGCACCACAACATACTTTTCAATATGTCTAGCTACTTTTTTAAAAAAAATGCCAACATACTTTAAACATACGTTTGGAATAGATAAATACTCACAATGTTAAAAAATACCAAAAGGGAGATGTGGTACAAAATCACAATCCTGCAAATAAGCTAAAATATCTGCTTGAGAGATTTACAGAGTGTGAGATGTCGAATTATGCAGTATATTCATCACGCTTATTGTGGGGAGGTATGTAGTAACATACAGTATATAAACTGTGTATCTTCACACATTGGTGGAGTAAAACACTCGTGCAGTATTATGTGAGTATTCTAAAATTTAACCAATTATATCAGTTTCTGTCCTGGGAAAGATTAGCCTAGGGCTGTAAGAGACAAGGTTGAAATTTATCCTAATGAAATAAAAAGTTGAAATAATTTAAAATGCAGCTTTTCAATCTCCTACATTTTTCCTTTATCTCTCATTATGATTGTGTCAAGTTGTTAATTTTAATTTTCTCCAGGCTTAAGCCTTTATTATTTTCTGTTTTGAATTGCATTATATTACATATTGTACTGTATTGTTCCCCTCAGCAGTATGCTGTTCAGTACTGTACAGTATTCTGATGTACATTGCTCTACTGTATATCTTCATATTGCACTGCACAGTATTGTAGATATTGTATCTCTCAGTATCATTCTGTATTGTACTGTAATGCAATATATTTTGTATACTGCTAATTTTTAGTGCTACTAGCATTTAGTGCACTGGACTGAATGGTTTGCGTTCACTTTTAGCTTAGCCTATAATACTGTACTTTTGCACAAATGCTTTGGCAGTAAGTCAGTAGGTGTAATGTCATGCCAACAAGCCTCATTTGTATTACTTTCATTTTCTTTCCATATCCTAGTTCTTTAAGTATTGAATAAATACAATTTGAATGTACTTTTTACTTAAGAAAATGTGTCTACCATTGTTGTACAGTTGTTTGTATATCATTAGTTGAAAGAATTGTAGTATAAGCTTTTGTTTGTATTTTTGGAATTATTGCTTTCATTTAGTTCTTGTGTTTGTGTGCAACGTGTGTTCACTAAATGTATATGTACAGTACTTTTATATATATCATCTTATTTGCTTGAATGACAAACCATATCCTGTTAAAAAGCACCGGAGACAATGAGGAAGTTGTGCTGTAAGCTCAGCCTTTCCTCCCTTTTCTAGAAAAGCTAAACATCTGTGAATCGCATGTGTGTTATTTGTTAAATCAGTTCAACGCTTTTGGGCGATTAAGTCTTTTCTCTGAATGGACGCACGATTCCATTTTTTAAACAAGCAAATAATATTCCATATTTTGTTAATTTAATTAAGATATTTTGGTGTCCCCCCCCCCCCATTGTAAGTGACTTGGCAGAATGTTATCTTTGTATTATCATTTAGTAAGTTTGTTTCAGGGCGCAACATTTCCTGGGGAACCCCATACGACAGCAAACAGTTTACAATTATAAATTTTCTAGGGCGGAAGAGTAACTTAATAGCTAACTAATAATATTTCTCTTCTCTTTAAACTGGCAGGAACGTTTTCATGAAGCTATAAAACAATAGACACAGGTCCCTCTTTCTTTACATGTCAAGCATTTAAATGACTCTTTGTTTCTGTTTAAAATCAGTGTGTTACCATGCATGAATATTGTAACACCATCTACAGTTCCCCTCTGTCCTGAGGAAGATTAGACTCCATTTACTAAGTACTCTTTGGCTAGGGTTGTAAGTGACGAGGTTGAAATGTGCCCTAATTGTTCTTTGTTGAGCTGTGCTGCTCCTCACCTCTTGCAGGGATCCTGCCCGTGTCTGGTTAGTGTCTCCCTGCTGATTCTGTCTTTGCAGCCTCCCTGGTCTTCTCACCCCATGCTGGAGAGCTGTAGTGAGGACTGGGCAGGGGTACAGAGAGATGCCGAAAGCCTGGAGCAGATGAGAGCCGAGCTGACGGGGGCTGCGTTTTGTTTTTTAGGACCAGGAACACCACCAGTGTCGATTTCTACAGGTGTCCATTTTGATTCTGGTCCTCTGCTGGAAGCTGGTGAGCCTGAGGAGAATGAGGGCATCATTGCTGTGGGGAATTTGTATTGCTGCTCCAAGCACCCTGAGCTGATCTCCAGTCTCCTACAGGTCCAATGGCCAAAACGCAGAAGACTGCACTTCTGCATGAAAGCCAAGAGTAACAGGGGCTTCTGCTGGTCACCATGGTGACAAGAGGGCCAGAGGATTCCTAGAAGGTGCCAGAGTCCATGACATCCTGTCTCAGATCTGCCAATCAAAAGATGTGAGATGAGAGGAGGCAACTTTGTTATGGAAGATCATCCTCTAAGACATGCCAGGTGAATTTCGAAGGTGTGGTCTGGATGAATGGATTGGAAACAGAAGAGAAATCAAATCACCATGAAACTGAAGGTGTCTCAAATCAAAGCAGTTAGTTCTGACCATCACAGAGGACAGTCACCACCGTGGGCTTGAGCTCTTCACCCCACTGCCCTCAGGCAAGAGATATAAGAGCATATGGACACTTACCACCAGACTCTTCAAAAGTTTCTAACCACAAGCGGTGCGGTTGGCGAACACATTTGGCCGTGCACACCTACACCATCTACCTCATTGTAATATTATTTATTGCACATCTACAGTCATTGTTTACATGTCTGCATTGTTAACATTCGAACTGTTTACTTGTACATTGTCTACTGTTTGTTGGTATATTGTCTTGATGCACTGTCTGACAATCGAGAGACTTTCTGTAAGAAAGAATTCCATTGTACCAGTACATGTACCGGTTACATATGGCAATAAAGTTCAAGTTCAAGTTCAGGGAGCTCCGCAGGAGAGCTCTGGAGAAAGCATCCGAACCAGCTGGAGGACCGAGCCGCAGAACCAGAATCCCGAGGGGCTCTAGAGTGATTGCAGAGTCAAACGACCTCTCCCAGCCAGCCAAGGAAGCAGCTGAGTGGCCAAAGAGGGCAGTACTTTTACATGTGTGTTTTACATATACACTGTGCACAGTCTTCTCGGTTAACTGGGACCTTGTGCTTAGTCTACACCGCCTCTGGCTCTTGTCCATTTACTGCCTGGCCTGTAACAACTACATTACTGCAGCTTTTATTTATTTTTTTACCCTTACTTTTATTGAAATGTGTGAAACTGAAATTTGTGAATTTACTAACGCTGTTTGTTTTTGTTCAATAAATCTAAAAAACACAAACAAACATGCTGTGATGAAGTAGCCAGGGAGTCACATTTTATCTTACAATGTCAAGTAATGAGCACAGATTCACTGTACAAATACTACAGTAATGTATAGACGTAGTAGCGTGTCAGGGAACAGGAATGTTGAAGCTGACCTAATTTCTCCTGAACATCTTCGGTCATTGTTTATCCCAAAAGGATAAGTGTCATTTTCAACAATACAGTTCATCAGTCCATGACATGAGTTACAGACTTTTCACATCCATTAACACCATTTTATTGAACTATTAGTAGGGCACATTTTAAGCTTTATAGAAAACAATCCCCATACCATATCTGTATGATAATGCAGAGAGCACGCGATGTGAGCAGTTTCAGTCTTAGAAATGAGTGCGGCAGAGCCTGCTCAGCCCCGCCTCTCCGACATGTGGCCATTCGTTTTTTCTGTTGTCACTTGTCATACCCCCAGGGCTGGAGATCTGATAAGTGGGAGGAGAATAGTGACACAGAGCGGCTCCTCCAGAAGCTCTCATTCATTGTCAGGGCTGACACCTAATGAGATCAGCCCACTTGCTTTTCTGTTGTTCTTCCAGACAGGAAAAGGTATCTGAGTAAACACAGAAATGGACCACAAATCATTAATAGCTTTGCTGCTGTTGAGTCTCCTGCAAGAAACAAGAGGTAGGTTACATTTTCTATCATATTTTGCTTAATCCTCTCTGTGTAATAAATCATGCAGGTAGAATTCAGGTTTTGGTCAGACAACTGACTCTAGATGGGTTTTTTAACATCAGCTACAGTATTGTGAAATGAGAATACTTTGGAACTACAACTTCAAGTTACTGTTCACCCTGGGCACTCGAAAGACTGCAGCAAACTGCAGCCCTGAGTAACTCCCAGCCAGACAGACAGAAGCAGAGAGAGAGAAAGGAAACAAAAAGCACTTTGAAAGAAATTACACATAAAAGTGTGTCTCCTTTATTAATATACGTAGAGCTGATGAGACTTTTATTTTATTTTAAATTTGATTAAAGATCTCAGCGTGTTCTCCACCTGGATATTTGAAGGGACACATATGTGCAGTTTGATTTTCATGATTAAATAGAGGGCTCAGGCTGCTTCTTAACGACTGGGGAATACATTTGCAACGGCCTCTGCCTTTTACTTTTACTGGTTTCAGGTTTTGCTGCAAAAAAAACAATACGCAAATGTGTACTGACTTGTGGTCTTGTAGAAGCTTTCAAGGCCTTTGGATACAGAGCACATGGAAACAGCACCATGCAACTGTTTTTTGTGTCACGGCTTGGTGTTGAATTTGTGTCACGGCATTGTAACTTTTGATAATCAATTTACATTGGGCATCACTGAAAATGTCACAATGATCATCATGTATTTTTCATTTATCACAAGTAAAAGTGTGAGTAAATGTATGTAGATGTAATGTAATTAGAACAAAAGCTTTAAGTTAATTTTTGTCTGTGTTTTTGCTCCATGACTGTAAAGTTATAGTTTATCAATAGGGAGTAGTGAAAAATTATAAATGAATTATAAATATTAAATGATTGCACACATTAGAAATTGACTTTTTATTACTTTGAGCCTTTTGATTTATGTCAATATTGTTCTTCAATAGAAAAAAGAACACTTCCCTAAATGTGCTTGGTGTTCAGAATACTGCGATGTTCAATTTTTTCAGGTGAAGACTCCATCGAGGACAGCAGCTCACTGTATGGTATTAGAGGAGGCTCAGTTCTGATTCCCGGGGCTGAGATGGAACAGCCACAACATTTTGTACAGTGGGAATTCAAGAGACGCACAAACACATCCATAGCTACCTCTGTTGTGCACTACTACATAGGATCTGATCCTGATGTCTACGAACCTTATGTGGAACGAATTACCTTTGTTAAACAAAACATGTCATTTGTTTTACACCACTTGAAGAAGAGTGATGAAGGCATATACACTATGGAGTGGGATCACAAAAACAAGAGGAAAGTCACTTTGCATGTGATTGGTAAGATTTAACAAGTTCCAGTTATCTTATATAAACTTATGTTTTCATGTATTCATGTCATTTAATGTCAGAACATGTGTGCCAATGTAAACATTATTAAAAGAGACACTCCTAATTAACTGTCTTTTTTAACATCAACATGAGATTCTAATGGATACTCTTCTGTGGATGAAAATCTACATTTCTTCCTTTTGAACTTCTTAAGCACATGAAACTATATCACGAGCCAGCCTTCAACAAAGGTAAAAAATTGTCTCCATGCTCAATAAAGAAGAACTTGACTTTTCATTTTTTTTTCTTTTTAGATCCAGTACAGAAACCTGTAATCCAGACTGATTTTGGATACAACGCGTCTGTCAACGTGAGTATGTCTTGTCAAGGACAGGAAGGAGTCTTTTACACCTGGACAAAAGACAGGGGGACAGTTTCACCAGAGAGTGTGAGAGACCAAGTCGTGGTACTTTCTGGGGACAGAACCAGCATATGTGGAAAATATACATGCACGGTGAAAAACCAGCTCAGCAGCAGCCAAGAGGAGTACCACCTTTTGCTTTTTGGTAAGAGCTCATTTTCAAAACTTTAGTATCACTGAAATGTAAATGCAAGCTTACAGTCAAACTGAAAATGAGAATAGTGTTTCAATTTCCAGGAAAGAAAACAGGGTCTTCATAAAGGCGCAGTCGGGTTTGTCCACACTAACGGATATTTATTCTGAGAGACATTACAAGCCAACAGGGGACTATTGGAACAAACGGGGGGTGTTGTATCTTTAATTGCTCTCCATATTCATCTTCCAAGACTCTTCCTGTTTCAGATAGGTCAGTTGTGTGTGCATGACAATAAATAATTGTACTAATGCAACATGTATATTTCCCATAATACCCCAGTAGAGCAGTTTTGAGCAAAATTACAGAATCTACTGATTTGTTTCAGTTTCATAAGCAAATATGAAAGCTGCCTCCTTCTCAGCTTCTGCCCTGGAACTGGGCAATAATAATTAAAATAATAATAAAAGAATAATAATAATAATAATAATTATGGTCTGATACTGTTATATGATGCTAGTTTCTTTAATCTACTGTTTGATAGTACACAAATACACTTGCTACACTTATACTGCTTTGGGGTTGTATTTGTAAAGTTTTTAATTTTGAAGTTTTACCATCTCGGAATTTCATCAGAACTCATATGCTAAGCTTGGCTGGACGTGGACTAGAGTGGGAAAATTCTACAGCTTCAGAAACAGTTTCCTTTTTCAAATAGAGTAGGTAGACCAGTAGGTGGCACTCTTTCCTCTGTACAGGCATACAGGTGCCTGGAGACACTGTGCTGCAGCACGTTCAGGTGAAATCTCCTTCAGGTGAAATGTCAAACTGAGCTCCTGACTGAGTGTCCTATTGCACTGTCCGTAAGAGTAGGCCTGTCAGTCTTGGAGTTCTGCCTCAAGTATTTCTTACTGTGCTACCTTATCTGTTGGGTCGTGGGGATGGTTGTGCATAATGGATGAAGTGGATGAAATGGGTCTCCTCCTATATTTAAAGTATTTTGGGATCCTTTCAGTTGAAAAGTGTTATATAAATGCAATTATGTTTTTTCAGTTATTAGTGTTTCTTGTACAAACTCCTTCATAACACCACAATTCTCAAAGGTAAAGTGAGCCTTATGAACTTCTTCAGAATCAACAGTGAAACATGAAGTCTCTTACTTACTGAACACATAAACAATTTAGAAAACGAAATGCCCCCCTCTCATTTCTAACTATTAATATGTTCATAACATGACAGTGGTAATCACTCAGAGGCTGACCTTAGTTTGTTTTTGCTGGTTAACCTTAGAAAATATTGTAATTGTACAGGGAATTTATTTCTGTGTCTTTAATATTGCTGACAGCGTCATAACTTACAACAGGAAAAATGCAACTGAAAACACGAAATACATACTCAGTACAATACTTCTCTCTCAGACACTGATTGTGAGCTAGTTTTTATTTTCTGCATCCCGTGTTATGTGGTGCTATGGTTCAGAATGCACAGTATTTTTTTGTTGTTGAGAAAAACACCCTATTGGCACCTCTAAAACTGTTCAAGAAAAGGGATACAACTTTCTGTGATAATTTATGGCAGCCAAGCAGTGTTCCTCTGTATCTGCCCATAACACCTAGGAGACCTACTGTACCAGTTTTTAATCCAGCTCTTAGAAACTGACAGCTGCCAATGTTACCTTTAGCAGTTGCTAAAACTGTGGCTTTAGAACCTGTAAAAAAAGCATCAATGTCTGAGTGTCTCACTGGTATCATTTATTATCTGAACATGCTACACTAGAGGGACTGGAAGCCAAAGCAGAGTTTTTTGAGGTACAGTATGGGACCTTTTTGTGTCATTTTTTTACTAACCCATTGTTGGGTTATCTGTTGTTAGTTTTTATTTTCTTTTGTAAAGCCAACACTGGAGTTTGACTGTTTCATTGGATGAAGCAGTGTAGAAAGTGTACAGCTGCTACGATGCATTATTGTTTTTCTTTTAACATGCAAAACCAGTGCTTCTGCAGCAGTTTGGGTCCATTCACTCTCACATCATCATTCTCAACCGCAGAAGCACAAAGCTGTATCCAAAAGTGTTTTATGCTGTCCAATCTACTGCTGTGCTATAAAGATGTGATATAGATTTCTCTATATCTGATTATAAAATGCTTTAAATCAATAGGTGTGTATTTACTTTAATGTTTTCATAATTTATTTCTTATCCACGAGATAGAATATTTCAGTCTTTTTCTCCTTTAAAATACAACATGGTCCTGATGATGAGTCCAAAGAGATAAAAGTATTTGTATGTGAAAGAAAATAGAAAAAAAGAAAAGCAGAAGATTTCTAAAGTGAGCTGAGTCTACATAATTTTTTCAATCTTCATTTGAGGTCATAGACCGTACATTATTAATTGTTCAGTTGAAAACAATATCTGTTTATGTTTCTTGTACTGTATTGTGCTGTATGTACTGTACAGTACATGATTTCCCTTGTTCTAGATGAAGTGTTTAAAAAAAACAACTAATGATACTCTGGTCCTCCCTTGAGTCAAGTCTGAGTGTGAAAGTCATTTGAACGATTAAGAATGTGCACAACAGTTGTTTATAAAGGGCAATCAATAGATGGTACTACATATTGGAAGAAATGTATAATATTAAGGCGATGCTTTTGGAGCAAAAACATTTCTCAGTCTCAAGCTGATTGTGGTAAAAGACTTTACTATTGTTTTATTTTAAGGATTCTACTGGCAAGATTTTGCTGGTATTTTATGTGGGTACACTGCCCTGGTTACTGAAGGTCTGGTAATACTTCGACTCCTCCAGGGTGTGTTCTTTAAGCAAAGTAAGTTATATGAATATTTTGCTTCTTGAAACTGAGCAGTGTTCAGTCAAGTTCCCCATGTGTTTATTTTGTAAGGTTTTATAGGATATATTTTACTTTCATAAAATATTTTTTACTCTCGCCCAATTTTAATTTTCTCACCCTACTTCCTCAATACAAATTTAATATATTTATTATACCACTTATACTTATGTTCTTTACTGTTTCATGTAAAATGCCATGAATATTATTGAAGTCTCTATCCTTTGAAGTCCACAGAATATGTTAGCGATTATTTTGTGTGTGAAAAGACCTGTACATATCAAACAATGTAATTTAGAGAAATGCTGTCAAAGTGCATAGTTTAACATTTTAAAAAAATGTAAAGATGTGCTTCATTTATTGTTTTTTTATTTGTTTCTGTTTTTTTCCTCACTCCCTTCAGAGTCAACGTGTTTGGGCTGGATCAGTGATAAATGCAGCAAAGTTGCATTGATCATTGTGCTCTTTGGATCCCTTGTCGAGTTGCAGACCTCTGGTATTTCCTGTTTTCCTTTTGTATTTATTTAAGATTGTATTCTTGTTGTAGATTTTCAGTCACTTTTCATCCATTTCTGCAATATTTTTTGGACTAGGGGATTAATTCTCATATAATTCTATAGACTCAGATAGAAAGTACTGTCTGCATTGTTTTAGAGCACAGTTTTAAGTGGAAATACACACCTAAATTACAGAAAAGCTGACTAAGAAACTTCTGTGCTTTTTCTTTACCAGACATGGCATGAACTATCAGTATGATTGTTGCTTCCCATAAATTGATAGACAATTATCAAGATAAATGTGAGTAACACATTTTAATAGTGTTAACCTTGGATGCCACGTAAATAGACAAATATACATTTTGAGTTTTAATTAAAACACTCAAGGAATAGGTTAGGTTAATTGAGGTTAAATTTCGATTATGTAAATTCAACAGGAAGTGTATTTTTATTTTGTCTGTTTGATCAAATAACCAACTTTACCTAATGCTGCTGGAGAGGTTGTGGTTTAGTTGTGTCAAACACATTTTTAAGCACTCTTTTCACAGGCCAAAGAAGAGCTATAATTTGGTTTTTCTAGAAACTGAGACTTGATGCTGTAGCCACATTCAAAATTTTAAGTCTTGTATCCTGTGTGGGTTTTAGAATACACTGCTAGGAGATGTTTTATACATGCTAAGCATTATACACAATATATAATTATATAAAACAGTATGCAGTACTTAGCATTGTATATGCTAAACAAGAGACTTAATCCTCCACCAGAGCTGTCCAGTTCTGATCCTGCAGGGCCGGTACAACTGCAGCTTTTCATTCCAACTCCACTCTTAAAGAGCTAAAGCAGCTGGCTATTGGATTACCTGGATCTATTGAACAGCGTCTCCCAGCTCTTGAGGTGCTTCTACTGTAAATAGAGCTTTAAAGCCCGCTGATGCACAGGCCCTCCTAGACTAGAACTGGGCTCCCTGTCAGGAGCCTGCAACAGGGCTGCTATGCAGGAAGAGAGCCGAGGTGGACGAATAGGGCAAACAAATCCATCCAGGGAGAGACTAGTAATGAGGTCGAGAAGCAGCAAGTCAAAGGTCAGCGGCCTGTTGTTAGATCAAAGTTAGGGAAACTGCCGAGGAGGGCAGTGAGCTCGCAGAATGGAGAGCCCCCTAAGACCGAGCGTGAGGTGACTGAGGGTTTAAGTAGTGAGGGGAGAGAGACGTGATTGGATAACAGGGTGATGAGAGTAATTAGTAGTTGCAGGGGTTGTGAATGGTCGGAACATGAGCCCTGTGGCAGGATCATGCTCATGTTAGATTTTGTTTGTGAGAACATAGTAAAGCATGTTTCAACAGCAACCCCAGGAGCCAAGAAAATTAATTTGGCTTTTGGCTCAATTATTTGTCAGGTTTGTCACGATGCTGCCACAGTGTTATTGGGTTAGCTGGGTCTCAGTGCGTGTTTTGTGCCCTGTGCCAGATTAATTTTGTGTCTCTCATTTCAGATCATGCTGCATTTGCAATTCCTATGGCAGTGCTTTTGAGTATCATTCTAAGTGTGAGAATGCTGCTGTTTCTGTGTACAGTGAAGCAGAGGAAACGGACAAATAAAGATGAGCAGAAAACAAACAAGTGTATGTATCGCAATAACAGGATGGTTATAAGCTCTGATTAGAGGATAATACATTTTCAGTTCCTTATTTTAAAATGGCTTTGGAGGTATTCCCTGTTTTCGCAACACATTTGCTGTAGTGCCAGCACAAGGTTGTCAAACAGTTTTTCTTTAAGCCATCCGTTTTGCTGCTTAAAGCAACTACAATGAATGTGAATCTGATCTGTACAGTCTGGTGCCTAATTTTGTGTTTTAACCTTTGCCGTGAACGTTCAGTGACACGAGGAGGAAATAAAAGCCTTGAACGCGCAGGTGGGAGACTAGTCAGGTTAAGAGTGAAGAGGTAGTGTATCGTGTATCAGCAGTATATTTATGAATAACTTGATGCATAATAACAATACAATTGCTGATACATGTGAACTTTACTTGGAAATCCCCTTTTCTGTATCATTGCTATTTGTCTTAAAGTTCAAGTTAAAGAATGGAAAGTTTCCAGGATTGCTTAATACATAGTCATGTCAAGCCAAACTAACGGAATGGTGCCATTCTCATAATTTTCCACAACTACAAATTTGTCTAAAAATGAGAATGATTATGTCATTCTCTTTTCCTAGAGAGCTTACGTGTGCGACTGTATAGGTTGCTCAGGAGAGAAATGTAAAAGTAAAGTATGAGTCTATTTGTTTCTGAATTGTACAAATTCCACCTTTAGGTGATTATTTTCCTCATTAGGAAGCTAGCCTAAAAGAGAGTCAATATTAGATTTTGTTTCTGTAACATGACTAGTTTATATACCGTAACTGTTTAGCCTTAATAGTTCAATTTAATTGGTCATATCCTGTCTCCTTAAAACTGTATAATAATGCTTTTTTTTTCTTGTTGCTAGGGAGGGCTGGCTGGAAAAGTGTCAGCTGGATTGTTGTGATATGTTCTTCAGCTAGACTGACTGTTATTTATGGAAAGACTTGTAAGTACTTAATAGTAATAATTCATTAATTTCTATACACTAATTGATCCATATAGTTACTATCATTGGCAGCAAAAAATACTATTGTTACTGATGTTTATAACAAGTCTTTCCACACATATCCATACACTCAGAATTGAACAATAATAGAATAGGGGCACCTGATTGTGCTCCAGAGCTGCAGAGCTTTCTCGTTTATTGTTCCCTGTCTGGTCCATTTACCTATTTTTATTATTTTTAAAATGTGCTGTAATATATTGTAACATATATCTTATGCTTCTAAATAATAGTAAAACAGAAGCACCAGTGCACTAAAAGCCTCACACAGCCTGCTGCTACAAGTTTCTGTTTTTTCAAAGAAATGTCTTCAGAAACAAATCTCTTTATACAGAGTGACTAATTTATACACTGTTGTGCTAGAGTCTTAAGACATCTGAAATGTAATCAGGATTGCAATATATGTATATTATGGGCATCACCAATTTACTCAAAGTCACCACTAGTTTCTCCTACTATTATAACAGCATTGACTGTTGGTAACAGAATTAAGTATGAGTAAGAACTCCAATCCAAACGTGTCATTTAGCAGTCATTATCAATGATTTATGATAATTGATAATGACCGCTAAAAGAGCAGGCAGTGTGAGATGCAGTAGCTGATTCATCAGATCAAATTGATTAATTTTCAGGTGTTCCTTGTTATTAACCTCATTTGTTTCTTTCTATACATCTACACAGCAAAAAAGGCTGACTTTTCTATTACAAAATGCAGATAATTCAGGATTAATTGTTAACATTTAATCCTGGTGTAACCCCGTAGGGGTTAAAACCCGTACCTGTAGGGGTGTAACCCCGGTGTCCTGGCCAAATTTCCAATTGGCCCTTACCAATCATGGCCTCCTAATAATCCCCCTCTATGAATTGGCTACATTACTCTGCTCTCCTCCCCACTGATAGCTGATGTGTGGTGAGCGTTCTGGCGCACTATGGCTGCCGTCGCATCATCCAGGTGGATGCTACACATTGGTGGTGGTGGAGGGGAGTCCCCATTACCTGTAAAGCGCTTTGAGTGGAGTGTCCAGAAAAGCGCTATATAAGTGTAAGCAATTATTATTATTATTATTATTAACATGCAAACAAAACAGCCAAAATTGCTGAAGTTTCAGCAGAAGATCTTGATAGAATTGTGTCTCTGCATGAAAAATGAAAAGCACAAAGCAGAGCACTATGCGCACAGCTGTGCATGTAGAGTATTTATAGTTTGTTGCTGCTTAGTTTTCTTTACTTCCCTTGTGTCTTTCAGACTGGATTTGCGGAGAAGGAAGTCACCTCATCTGGTGTGTGTTTGGTAGTCCATTTATTGTGATTGCAGTCATGCTCCTCATCTTTCACTGTAAGCATAGCTTTTAGTTTTACAAATTTTTACAATGACCACAACTCAGTGGAATGAGTGTGTTTCCCTGGTGACATCCTGGGCCATTGGTTTGGACCAGAATTCCCAGAAAACCAGTGCCCCAGTGTAGTGACTGGGGACACTGTGCTGTAAAAGTGCTGCTCTTAAAATGAGACATTTAACTCATGTCCTGGCTACTTAGTGGTTAAAGATCTCATGGCAGTGTTAATAGCAGCAGGGGTCGTTAACCCTGGTGCCCTAGCTATGCTCCACTCTGGGATACTGTATCTTGAAGCCTAGTTCAGGTATACAAGGTACAAAGGTTAACAGTGCTTGGTCTGTGGTGCTTGACCAGAGGATAGGATGTCCCTATAGTGTGGCCATCGTCACGGCAGCATGTTTTCCTCAGTGTTGAATTCTAAAGAATCTAGCTTTAATACTGCTTTCTACAACAGTCCCTGTTCATTTACTGAGCCCTTCTACTCTAAAGTAAGATGTTACGATTTACCATTTCATTTTATCGGTAGCACAACATGACGTAGCAAAATGCATACCCGTTGTGTAGTCCATCACAACCATTTGTGCACCTGACATCACAAGCACGCAATCTCTTCAAATGGTTCCTAACAAGACACCAAGACACACAACGTTTCAGGCAGAGTGAAAACGATGGAAGAGACTGAGAAAGACTTTCTGCAGATGCAGTTCAGTAACAGGGATGCTGGTCTGTTTGTGTGTAATTTTATTGTGCTGTATGGTTTTCATGCTGTTATGATGCGATCTGGCCTGGTGTTCAGAAGGGAGTTAGGAACCCCATTGAGTAAAGCATAGTCCTTTTCTCTAACAGCTGTGCAGCAGTACTACGTTTTATAACGAAATCTCAGGAGGGATGACAGCAGACTAATTTGCTGTCACCTCAGCGGCGCTGACTCATAATCATTCTAAGTATCATTTCTTAAATGAAAAAATACTGTTTTTGCTTACCTTACCATATATAACCTACCATATTTGCATAACCAGCCATATATAATGGGCTGTGGGAGGAAACTGGAGTACCTACTGTAAGTCCTTTTAAACTTCACACTCTTCTGAATCCCTCCTACACCCTGCCTCCACCTTTCCACCTACTTCCTGGTTCACTTCTCCCCTTTAAGGGAGTCTCAGTTCTCACCATGATGAAACACTTAATAAATATTTTCAATACCTAGAATTCTTGGGTGTTTGTATTCCTCAGGAAATGAGCAGTTGCCCCAGTAATACTGATGTCTCATCATCGAGAGTTAAAATCTTCAGTGTCAGCAATGAACCCTGTGTTTCCTCTGCTGCAGGCTTATCAAGAAAGGCTGTGGAGGTGGAGGCTCAGGGTGAAGAAACCATGTCAGCCCAGAATCAGAGTGAGAGACCGGGGGATTTGGGAGACTGAAAGAGATTGGGGGGTGCCCTCTTCCCTCTGCCCTTACGAATTACAGAAAAATGAAGGGGTGCTGTGCATTAGGAGAGTGGAGGGGGGTGCAGGGATCTCTAGTAATACCTCTAACACCCCAGAAAGGTACAGCCATAGTGGGAATATGGGTTATGGTAAAGAACACAAGGAAAATGAAGTGCTACAGTTTTTGCTCTGGCAACAGGAAAAAATGCAGTTTTCTAGGAAAACAAATTCTCCACCTGTCCGGCCCAGTCAGTGACAGTGAGAGTGTCAGTGGACATATCAGAGGACTTAGTCATCATGGGTTTCATTCTGTGAGAGCCTGAGAAGTAGAGCTGCCATATCCTCACTTTTTAGTCCAGTCTAAGTGCACAGGGTAGAGCAGGAGACACAATCACACTTGATACAGATACAACCATTTTTGCAAGGAGGACCAGCCAGTTTGCTCAAACCTGTGAGAGAAGAAGCACTGTTTAAATCAGGCTGTAACATGTAAGACCTATTTTCTTACAGAATTTATAATTTTTTCAGATCATTTTGGTTGAACTTGAATAACTTGTTCATTATTATTATTTACATGGGTATTGATGACTTCAATAGTCAACAGTCCATTTTTGTAAAGTTGTACCTGTGTCAGGTTACAAAGATATTTGTATTCATTAAACTATTCTCACCTTAATGACCTCTCTGTGTGCTTTTTATAAAGACAAGGCGAGAGATGAATTTATGGTTTCTTCTATGTATTTCTGGTTATTTGAATAGCAGTTTCACAGGTGGATTATACTCTGTCTACATTTTCAGTAATTAAAGGTAACATTTGCTCTACACATGTTGTTAGCTATAAAAGACTCAAAGGTTTGCATAGGTTATATGTTGACATGGGGTATGTTAATACTGCGAGTGATTCTATTCAAAGAAAGCACATTTTAAATGTAGATCAAAAAGGTTTTATTAATTTTCTTCAGGTGTAATAAAGATCATTATTACTTTTATTTACAATAGATTTAATTGTGTATTTATATCTACTGAAAATCTTTTTGCAAACAGCCTCACCTTCTAGTTCTCTTTTCACCTCATACACCCTCTACCAGCTTCTATATTAATATATGTATAACTATTTAGAACACACCTGTCCATAGACTTCTCAGACAAGACTCCTCTTTGCCACATTTTTCTGCCAGTCAGCATTAAAAACTGAATGTTATTTATAAAACAACCACTCTGACACTCAAAAGATCTTTGTTAACTTTGACTTAATAAAAGTAGAGGTCACGCTTCCTCAGACTCCAATGGGTTAGGAAAGTGTGTGTGTGCAGGAGGTCCAGAGAGGCGACGTGATCCTGCTCTACAGGGCAGACAGACAGAAGCCCAGACACTATGTGACCACATGCAGCTGTGAGAGGATTGCCCTCAGGGCAGGCACTGTGACAGTGGCATCTGCACACTCTGGGTGATGAATTCAGGGCTTCCGCAGGCACTTGACAGGAAACCCACTAGATCTAGCTTACTGAGGCCTGGGTGGAGTTGTAGGTGTGGTCTCTGGCAGTAAACTGGCACACATGGTAGGATAAGCATTAACACTTTTCCTTGTCATCTACCCTTGGCCAAACCTATGACGAAAATTGTGACCATACGTTTCCTGTCTTATCCGTCCTGCATCGTACTGCATCGTACTACAGCGTACTGCATCTTATTAACGCCAGCAGCCATATCACCCTGCAACTCACAACTGGCAGCCCACTGAAGCTCAGCAGGTGTGAGCCTGGTCAGTACCTGGATGGGAGACTCCTGGGAAAAACTAAGGCTGCTGCTGGAAGAAGCGTTAGTGGGGCCAGCAGGGGGCGCTCACCCTGTGGCTCATGTGGGTCCTAATGCCCCAGTGTAGTGACGGGGACACTATACTGTAAACAGGCGCCGTCCTTCGGATGAGACGTAAAACCGAGGTCCTGACTCTCTGTGGTTATTAAAAATCCCAGGGTGTTTCTCGAAAAGAGTAGGGGTGTACCCTGGCGTCCTGGCCAAATTTCCCATTGGCCTTTATCAATCATGGCCTCCTAACAATCCCCCTCTATAAATTGGCTTCATTACTCTGCTCTCATCCCCACTGAGAGCTGGTGTGTGGTGAGCGTTCTGGCGCACTATGGCTGCTGTCACATCATCCAGGTGGGGCTGCACACTGGTGGTGGTGGAGGGGAGTCCCTATTACCTGTAAAGCACTTTGAGTGGGGTGTCCAGAAAAGCGCTATATAAATGTAAGCAATTATTATTATTATTATTATTATTATTATCGTACCAACTTTCCAAACAGATGGCTATGGGCCCACTGCTTTCTGGAGTGTCCCAGCCATGTAAGTATTTTGGAGCTTGGCTTGTGTTCAGTATCTTCGGTGGGGAACTTGATTGCCATTTTTAGGGTGTCGATTTAGAGTGTTGAGATGCCCTGATTCCCCTGTAGCTCACTGTATGTCCTGGGCAGCCACTGATAAGCTCATGTGCAGTCTGCTATCCCTGCGATGGACTGGTATCCCCTTCAGGATGTACAGTATTCTGCTTTCTGCCCATAGCTTCCTGGCATAGGCTATAGGTAGGCATATGTCTCCACTGCAACCCTGTTTTGCATGATGTAAAAATGGAAGTATGGAAGTTACAATACATTTGAAATATTTCTTTCAGATTTTTTCTTACGTGCTACGTTTTATGTAAGACTTTGCGTGTATTACATTGTTTCTCTTTGACATCTGTCGGTACAACATGTGAAGTCCCTGCAGTGCACACTTGTTTTATTTTAATGAAAACATGATAATAAACAAGCTTATTTAATATTTTATCTTAGATTTTTTCTCAGTAGGGTTATAATTATAATTATATCAGTAATTATATTGTATGTGAATGAGAGCTATGCACTTCTTTTAAAATGGAGCTTCACTTTTAAATGCCGCGGAACATTGTTTGCTGAAGCAGGTTCTCTGAAAGACTTCAGGATTGCCTGCTTTATGCAACATGGTTTTAACTACCTTTTGAAATGTTTCAGTCGGTGAAAGGAATCTGTCTAGCAAGGTCTTAATTGAAATGCTGTCGTGTTTATTACTTCTACGCAGGGTAAACGTGACGGTAAAAGGTATCACCGTGTTTTTGGTACTGTAGGTCTTGAAGAAATTCACTGGTGGAGCTGCAGGCTGAGTGCCAGTGATGCTCCGTGGTAAAAGCGCTGCGTCAAAACCACAACGCCTGCAGCTAGTTCCGAAATACAAAAAAAAACACACAACATGTTCAGACATGCCTCTGCTCTGTTCTCTCGCCATTCCTGACTTGCTTCACAGCGAAATGCCACCTTCCTTCTGAAATATAAAATACTTTAGATCTTTAGTACACACGCTGCATTTTTTTCTGATTTTCCGGTTCTTTCTCCTTACAGTCTAAGCCTAGTAAGAATCGAAAGGAAGATATGAATAGTGGACTCCAGTAGTCGAAGCTGACACTAAAAGAAAGAAACGCTTTCCTCTGACAAAACCCATCCGCCCGGTCGAGCGGTCTGCTGGAAATGCGATGTGCGTTTCTGTGAACTGGCAGAGCAGTGAACCTTTCGTCAATTCTACTTTCATAAATCCAGCTTCACACAAAGTAAGCGATAGACATCGGCAGTTTATGCGCCAACATTAAAACTACGGAGCGACGGAAAGCAGTCCGCGAGTGGTTTCACAGATATCTCGACCACAATAGACCAGACACACCAATATTAAAACTATTGGATGTTAACTTCGCCAACAACGACCTTGAATTCAAACAACAACAACAAAAACCATCATTTTTGGAAATGAAAGGACACCACAACATACAAGGGCACCAATTTCAAAGACAGGTAAACCAGACATCAGAGCTTATTTCAAAGACACTGACACACGTCCTGCTACACAAGAACAACTTACTTTCAAATGACAACTCTTACCTTTTCACAAAATCTGAACACAACAGGATTTTGATAAAGCCAGAAATACACTAAATCGAAACACTGCATTCTAGAGATACAGAAGGAAATTTCTCAAAAATGTGACATGAAAAGTTTTAAACAGGAAAAATTCTGAGAACAGAAACACAATACCCCTTGTCACAACATACTGTATTCACAACTCAGCATAACAGGAAAGCAAAACTTAAAATCTACATTTGCCACCACAGTGCAAAACGCAGAAGTATTAAAGGAACGTAAAACCATTCCTGCATATAAAAAGAACAAAACCCCCCGAGATCACACAGTCAAAAGCAAACTTGAGGCCTTTGTGAAACAGAACAGGGATAACTATCCTAGCTCTAACTGAGAACTTACAAATTACAAAAATCCTAAACTGCACACTTCAATCCACCATGACTCAGTCAGTCTGAGAATAATTCACGTTAACAGTGTGAGATGGACAGGGCGGTGGCTCTGTGGCTCAGGATCTGTGTCTGTGGCTGGGAGGCTGCCGGTTTGTATCCCATGGATGGCAGAGGAATCCTACTCCGTTGGGCCCCTGAGCAAGGCCCTTCACCCCAACTGCTCCTGGAGCGCTGTATAAAAGGAAGACCCTGCGCTCTGACCCCAAGCTTCTCTCCCTGTCTGTGTGTCTCATGGAGAGCAAGCTGGGGTATGCAAAAAGACAAATTCCTAATGCAAGAAATTGTATAGAGCTCATAAAGTTATCTCTCTTTTCTCTCCCTTAGCTGCCCTCCCTCAGATGGTGTCCCCAAGTGTAGAGCTCTGCTGCACCCCACTATAGACAATTCATTTCTTAAACATGATGGAAGAAACCTTTTGTGTTTTTTAGTTCAAACATGAATCTCAGGGCAGAGAAAACCACACAGAAGTGCAGGAAACTGGTGGCAGAGGGTTATGGTAGGGTGGAACAAGCAACATGGTCATGTTGTCTGGTTTCTCTCAAAGAACAGCCTTGCATCAGTTCACTACTAGCTACCCAACAGGCAGGAAGGGCTCCTCTCATTAATAAACTTTTTGTTCTTGAAACTATCTTCCTTTCCTCACCACATTTTGGTTTCTTATATACTTAACACACCACATGATCACAAAGATTATGCATGGCATGGGAATTTAATATTTTCCTTCCTTTAAGCTTTTTTTTGTGGTCAGAGGTTTCTGCCATGTCTACTTGAAATGCCACTGAAGCCCAACATTCTCCTCCCACTTCAGCTGAAAGCTGTAGTCTATAAATTAAATTAAATGTCAATGTCAAACCACAACTGTGCGGGGAGTGGATATGCAGCAAGTGCAAAATGAAACAGAAGTAAAGAAAATCTCTTATACCCAGTGGTGTGCAGTAAGCACCCTTTAACCCTTCTGTGAAGGGATGGCAAAGAAGGAAAAAGAAAAAAATAATATTCAATAAAAAACATCTCACAATGTTACCGAATCAAGCAGATGACAGTAAAATTGTCTGATCAGATTTGAAATTTTATGACTTGGAGAAGGGGTTGTACTTGTTTACATCAAAATCAGGCTCAAGCTCGTTCTGTGGGTTTTCGTTTATGTCCATTTACATTATGTGGGTCCTGCCAGTATTCCCTCTTAAAAGTGAAAATGGTGATGGATGGTAGAAATACGGATGATACTGTGGCGATGTTAAGAGCAGTTGGTCACGACAAAAAAGAGATCGGACCCTAGGCTGTGC